GTTTGCATATTGGTGATGTTTCAACCTAATTTGCATATCTGATGCAAAAAAAGCTTTTTTTGGCTCCAAAACCAGAATTCGCTAAACGACATGTGATCTTCGAAATGTGATCTTCGAAGAACAAGTTTATCAGGTACAGCAAGGTCCCTCGACATCGTGTTTGCATATTGGTGATGTTCAACCTAATTTGCATATCTGATGCAAAAAAAGCTTTTTTTTGGCTCCAAAACCAGAATTCGCTAAACGACATGTGATCTTCGAAGAACACGTTTTATCAGGTACAGCAAGGTCCCTCGACATCGTTTTTGCATATTGGTGATGTTCCAACCTAATTTGCATATCTGAGGCAAAAAAAGGATTTTAAAGTAGAGAATGTCATTGAAGGACAAGCAATTTTCTTTGAACTACTTTCATAAGATTTTGAATAGTTCTTTGACATCAGGTATGTGATTTGGTTTCATAGTATTCAAGATGGAGCCGGTCTATAATGATCCTATAACAAGATTGTGGCATAAAAAATTGCTTAGCTGCAGTTCTGACCATTTCCGGTAGGTTTCCGGTAGGTAAGTTTAAAGGCACTGGAAAAGCTATTGGACGAAAGAAATACCAAACTACGGTCTTTTAGTAAATTTATAGATTACTTTTGACCGAACACAACATTTTCAAAGTCAGCAATACACAGTAATAGCGCTACTTGCTCCAGACGTGCTACAGTTCTAGCATAAGTCGCTATTTTGGCTTGTTTGCAAATTATTTAGCAAAACGCACCAAAACCTCTTTTGGAAGAATTCAATACCAAAATAAGACTTTTTTTGACCAGTACTGTAGACATGCTTCATGAATAATACTTTTTAAACTAGGTTATGGTCACCAATAACATAAAAATAGCATGTATAACATGTACAACAGCGCCGCACTATCTGTGCGCTTTCGGCCATCCAAAATTGAGGCATATGGATGACCCGTATCTTCACAACGAAAAACCCTAGAGCAGATCTGTCAGTATCATAGCTAGACCAGTACATAATCTTAGTTTTGTGAAAGTTTCGTAACAAAATACCGCTTCCCTCTTGATTTATGAACGAAAGTGTATTTCTGAGAGGTGCGGTTTAAATCGAACCAGCATGATCTAGCAGAAACGTAGTAGTTAGAATGCGTCATGGCATAGTGCAAGACAAAGATCGTGTAGAATTCAATCTCTCCTAGGAGACAACGGATTTCGATCAAAATTGGCCGAAATAAAGGTCCTTGACATACTGACATATGGAATCTAATGTGTTTTCATGAGAAAAACGTAATAAAGCTGCCTCATTTGTAATATCGCACTTTCTGATGGCACAAGCACCTGTTCAAAGTTGAGGACGGGCGGGAGAATGGCTTGTATGTGATCTTCACGAGAGAAGTGACCAAACCTATTAACGTAGAGCTAGAATAGTAAAGGAGTCCATCATTGTTAATGTTTCGTCCCGATAACCTTAGCCATGTTTTAGAAAGACTTCAATATACCCTTTTGCTAGATGAAGTAAGCAAATTGACCCAGAATCATCCCGTACGCGTACAGCATTAGGTCAGAACGCATAGGTGTTCACATCTCGCATAGGTTTTATTAAAAGACAGATACGACTTTTTAAACATAGAACTTTGCATTTCGTAAGTAAATATGGGTATCGATTTACTAAGCTTTCAAATATTCGCTAACGGAAAGGTTGCACGTGGGGAAAAAACAATGTACATTTTGCACCTTGGAGCGTCTCGTAGAGATTTCGGGATAACGAAGAAGTGACAATTAAAGACGAGATTCTGTTATGTAGAACGTAGTGTAACGTCAGACGTAATCTCTTATTTCATTTTACTTTCTTTTCTCATGTTTGTCGCCTTCCAAATATCCCTCGGACAATAAACCTAACTGCGTATGTTAATGGAGATGCGTGCGCAATTGGAGGAATCACTCATGTACTGGTACAGACCAGACCCCATTTTCCTTCAGAGAAGTTTGCACAAATAATTATCAATATCCGTTATGGAAAAAGAGGGAAGTCAGATTTCAAGCCCACGGGTCTGAAATATAAGAGGGTCAAGAAGGAGGAACTACAACTATATTAAGATTTCAGGAAAGGGGCTAAACAGAATATAAAAACAATGGAAGACTTTGATGAAGGTGATCGAAAACAATGCCTTCATAAGGTACAAGAGTCATCTGGATGAAACTGTAAGTTACTTCTAGGAGTCAAACTAGAGACATTGCTAGAGATGACCAGTTCATCTACTAGATTTGCCTGATATACATACATGTACCAACTTTTAGTGTAATAGATGAATACAATATTTAAGGGGTGACGAACGTTGATAATTTGAACCTTGACCTTTTAGCTATACAAACCAGTTATGTAAATCAGCAGCAAACATTCAGTGTTATATTTTTTGTATTTTATTACTTTTGCACTTGCGTGTCAGTTAGAAATGTTGAATAGGTACACTTACTCATTTGTTATCATTACATTTCAGACATACAAACTGCATTACACTGACATTCAGCATCCTAATGTTTGAATAGCAGCAAACTGCTGAATGTAATATGTAACACCACTGCACCTGGCATGGTGCACGTGGCAGCCATGATTGGCATAATAGTGGACAGGGGTACAATAAGTAAAAGAATAATAGATTATACAAAGTACATAACAAAAGATGTAAATGAAATCAGTATAACTGAAAGTTATACATAAATAAATGAGTAATACGAAGTTCAACATGAACTGAGGGAATTTACAAGAAAACATAACTTCAAATCATAAACATAATCATTGTTACATGTACATTGAAAAGTAGTGTACCATGCACTGTGACTCTACACCTTGAACTAGCATTACTGTGCATTTGAATATAACATGACTAATACGAATAGCAGGTTTATTTCAATAAAATGAAATAACAGAAAATATGCCATTACAGCCACAATTACTGAATTGGGACATATTGGACAATTAAAAGAAACGTTATCTACAAATGGTTACCATAAATATATACAGAAGAGCTGGGAGATTAGCCATTCAGTAGTTCAACAAGGAATGGTATTGTGCTGTTTCTAAACCTAGATGTTCTGCATTGTCATTATGTTTCTATGTGAACTACTAATCATAATCACAATTGAGTACAGCTGATATTCCTTTATGCATTGAGGAAATATATGGCAAAAAACGTTCCTCTGAGACAGTTGCTGGTTGTACAGCACCCTTAGGTATGCATTATATGGTCCAGTTAATAGGTTGTCCTGATGGGTTCTGCATTTCCCTTGAAGACAATGTCTATCCAGCCACATGTTGACTCTTGGCACCTGTATGTGAAATAAACAGAGGAAAAACTCAATGAAAAGTTATGTTCTGTTACCACATAACTATTAGAATTTTCTAAACATTGTGGTCAAGGTGCAGGTAGACATGAGAAATATCTGCACAGCCCATACTAGTATTTTACCTGCAGGATGTACTCAAAGCCCTTAGTACATGAATAACTTTCATATTAATATTTTGGGGCAAAAAAGTAGAAATGCACCATAATGCTGCTCATCTTTTTGGAAAAGACAAAGTATGCAATGTTCAAGGCACCAAGAGAGGCTAACCCGAGACCTAGTAGTAGTAGACGCTACAGGGTGTACCTTACTGTACCTATGCCAATATGTGTTTCTCCCCTTATTAGGCTATACCGTCTTAATTCTATGGATAACATCCGCGCACAAATTGATTTTTGCCAATCCTAAAAAGTCACATCGATCCTCTGAGGCTCTGGCCTGGGTAGTCCATGCTAGTTAGCCGGTGAGACCTCTTTGTGGAGGATGGCACCCAGGCTACCGAAGCTCCACAACTCAATATCTCAGTACATACGTACAGTGCTGATTCATAAACTTTGCAAAAACTTGTGGTATACGTCGCTATGTAATAACACAAATTCACAAACCATTTAATTAAGTCATGTGGCCTTCCTCCTAATTTCCATGATGACTCCTCACAGTTTATATATGTTATAGACCCAAAATGTTGGGGTTTCCTTTGTCAATATACTGTGAGAACCATGCTTATACAATATGTGTACGTGTGGTACCTCATCATCAGTATACCAAGCTTGGTGCACCTGATACCATGACCAAGGAAATACGGCAAATGCACTTGTATTGCTCAGATTACATGAGACCATTCATCTGAGATACACAGTAAGGTATGGATTGATATCAGGATAGCAGAACTAACAACTTTTGAACTAACTTTTAGCAGAACTAACATCATCTATTGGTAGATGCAACTATCAAAATTATATATGTAATGGCATGTTCCAGAAAGCCTGTGGGGTGGGTGGGGGTGAAAGAGGTCAAAAATAAACTTTTGTCCCTAGCCTTCTTTCAAACCAGGTTTGCTCAAACCCTCCCTTAATTTAGGGATTGAAATACTGGAAAATTGGAGCTGTGCGGTTATTCCAATGTTACCTGCACCAGTGCTATATGCAGAGAAGAGTGTTTTGGGCCCTAGTTCCTTGTGCTGATTTGCTTAAGTCAAACACTTCCTAGTTCCATGTTAAGATTAGGGCAAATCCTCCCCTAGTTCCTGGTCCAGATTTTTGCTGCATTGACTGTCACCTTCATTAAGTTGAACAGGTCATCTCTGTCATTGTTCCAGGATTCCTGCGTAGCTATCTTCTGTTTTGAATATGTAGTGCGAGTTTGTGGCGGGGCTAGCTCCGGTTCATCTTGTGGTGGGAATAAGGTGTCAACAGCAGCTGCTGCTGTGCTGGGACAAGGATGTTGGGGCAATGTACTAGTATGTGTACTGCCAAATGGTATGGGGACACGTGTCACGGATCTCTTTGGAGCTGGACTGTCGTCAAAGATCACAGTCCTTGCCGTCACTTTCTGCCTTTCACACCGAAAGTGCTTGCTTTTGCCTCTGGCTTTTCCCATGTTTCATTCTAAAATAAGGCAAAAATAGCAACAATTATTTTCTTACTCAGTTCCAGACTATAGAAAGTATGCCTCAATAGATTTGCAAATGTGCCCTCTTCTGCACAATTCATGTATAATCCATCTTCTTGGTACTATATAGTAGATGCTGATTTAGAAAAAAATGAAACGCATATAGCTTAGGTTGTACAGTGTATTTTACAATTGTTCTCATTAGAATTATTACTCAAGCAAGGCAAGGACAGGTTTCTTCTGTATAATGAGCAAGAGCATTATTCCCTAACAAACACCTTCATTTGTCAACATTGTTGCAAGTTGTTTTGACTTTTTCTATTAAAAATTTATAAAATAAGCCCCCCACCCCACCCCCCTGTCGCACACGCACCACCCACCACCCGAATTATATAAAGACACGGTCCCGGCCGCTCCTGGAGCACCGTGATGCGCCTATTAAAGTGCCATTGACAGGAGGATAGAATATTTTCGTACTGTTTAATCAGATGTATTAGTTTTCTTCTTTAGCCAAATGCTAATTTATTTTACCGAGAATATATAACGTTATAACGACCATACTATAGCTGGTTTCCTATAGCTAGGTGAGCTGCCCGGCTGAAAGATGGCCGTCTCTTCTCGCATAATTACGCAAGTCTCTCCCAAAACCACAGAATGGGTCCGACCATGCAGGAAATCTGACCCTAGGACCTTATATACTAGTATTCAAGAACAGAGGCACTCAAAGTGATCGAGAAAGTTTGTAGAAACTTTTAGGTCGTCCTCACCACCCCCCTCCCCCATGCCTCGATATTTCCTGGAAACTTTTGGTGAAATTCCAGGCGAACCTTAACCTCAACTTTCGCATAAAGCATTTAAAAATGGGTAGCATACAATCACACTGAAATACCAAATAGAAATGTACCATTAAGAGTAAGTATAAACCATCAAACTTCAAGTCAAACACACGTACCTGTGGTGGTGATTTGAGACCGAAGCCGAGCGCGGCGTTGGTTTGGGTTTCCCAGCATACCCCGGGGCGGTGACCCCGCCTGATGACCCAGCGTATGTCACCATCCATGAGAATCGCTGTGCTATCGTGGAAGGTGTCGGCTGTAGGACGGGCCGAGTCGCCCCCCCCCCCCGATATGTATCGATGGAAGGTGGTCCCCTTTCCACGATAGTTATCGTGGAAGGCGATCGAACGGGGTGTAGTAGTACACTAATGCCCGGTAGAAATGTCGCTCACAGTCGGGTTGTAAACTAACTTGGCCCCGCGACCCTGGTTACGTGCCCTGGCAATTTTGTGATTTGGCTGACGGATGTTTCGTGTGGCAAATCACATTCGATGCCGAAGTGGGCGCACTGGTAACGAAACGGAAAGGCACGGCGCATACGATCGGGAAGTGAGCGCGAATAGCTCCGCGCGCCTGGACGCGCGTCCCGCTAAATTTGTGATGTTATACATCAAACATGTGCCAGAACATTGAATTTTTTTTTTACTGTTTAAGACGTTTAGATATATAGAATACAACAAGGTGCATTCCGTATCGTCCGACCGCGCGTCGGATCGCCCGAAGGCCGGAGGGAGATCCGACCCGCGGGGGGGCTGGGACCAAGGGTGATGCGGAATACACCGTGTTGTATTTTATTTATATCATACCCACCCAAGAAAACGCGCCTTTCAATGCAAGATGAGCCAAAAGTTGGTGCCACTAAACCCAAAAAATGCAACAATGTCAATTCCAACGTCCGAATTTTGTATTCGAAATTCAAAAGCGGCACACGCGATAAGGGCGAAACGCGTTCGAATCGTTCTATGGAAAAATTTGGAAGGGCCGGGCCGTACGCGTTAAGAACCCCCGGGCCGTACCGCTAGTTATCACACGGGCCGGAACACCCGTATCGAACGTAATCGCGGCCCAGGTATGACATAAAAACTTGTACTTACCACAACAGTCGCCCCTGTTCAGCACGCTGACCCGGTTGACTGGGTAGGTACCTCCCAAGTCCACTTTCCACCACGGCTGGTAAACGCGGTTACGGTTAGTGTGAGTGCACTGGTTGTACCAGGTTACCCTCGTACCCCTGGAACCGTCTACAGCCTTCTCAGGTCCCCAGTGTGATGGAGCAGAACTACAACTTGCCGTCTTGCGAAGAGCGACGTTGCTTTCTGCAGGGAAATACCAGCGAAAAATAAGGGCGCCTGAATTTTTACCTCTGTATCTTATTTTTTTAATAATCAAGTAATAAATACAAGTGGGGCATGGTGTACCGCAACTGACAAAAGGTTGAATTGGAGATGGTCATATTGTAGACTGGGAATAAGTGGCATTGGATGGGGGGGGGGGGTAGTGGGTCAAAATGGAAATAAGTGTTTTTGTGAATTCTAAGTCACGCGTTTACCTGGTGGTATTTATATGCCAATTATAAAGCCAAGAATCCCACAAATCCAACCTTAAACCTTGAACGTGTACATCTCTAATCCAAATTTGTTCATTAAATGGTCACTCGTACTCAGGGATCACTGTCTAGTTTAAAGGGGAATAATTTGAGGAAAAGGCGGAATATTCTAATGAAACCGTGCGCTCACCTGTGATACAGCGGTATGATACCTCCAAGTACTTCTGCACTCCGTAACAAGGGTCCCCACCGAAAACGCTGCTACTCGCTGTCACTGAGCACTGCCGCTTGCCCTGACAGGCGGCCCTCACCACGGCCAGGCTGGTGGCCGCGCGGCAGTTGGTACGACAAGTGGAGCAGGCACAGGAGTGGGAGGCGGTCGTCCTGCCGTAGTTCGCCTCCACGATCAACAGCGTCTTTCTGTCCGAGCAAGACAGCTGTAGGGTGCCCCTCTCGCAGGTGAAGGCTGTTTCTGTGTCAACGTTTGTGTATTAATGTCAGGTGAGTAACTTGGGTGAAATATTTGCCCCTTACTCACAAGAAAACGGCGGGATGGCTTTTATAGACAACCCTGATCCTAAGGTACGAGTAATTCATTTTTTTACATTAAACATGTATTTGTTGGATCACCTGTCTTAATCTAAAAAGAAAAAAAAGAATCCTAGCCTACCAACTAATCATTGTTTTTTTTAGGAAGCGGAGACATAACATGGTTTTCCTATGCCTTACCTGTGTGTTGACACCACAGAAACAATACTTAGCCAATTTAAAAGTGGATATTTTTTAATAAATCAACACAAAAATCTCTAAACAAATGAAGGGGAAATGACGTTAAGAATCTTACCATGCTCGGGGACGGTGGTGAAGACGAGTCTCTGTTCCAGGGAGTACAGCCGGGTGTTTCTCACCTCCACTCTCGCCTCTTCAACCTTCGCCGTCACCTCTGACAGTAGACCTAGTGAACATCGTACATGAAAACACGTACATTGTAAAAAAAAATCCGATACAAGTAAGCTTTCTTATCGAATGATGTACATGTAAACCGATAATTTTCTCATTATAAGAAAAAAATCCTACCATCCACCATTCCTTAGGCCAGAAATTGTTTAAGCCTCCATATTAAATGTCGTTAAGTTAATTATGACCACGGTGGTCAAAATTGGGCCCCGATCTCCCCACCTGCAGTAGAACCCGAACCGTGTTCGATATGACGTAATTCGAATAGAACAGTGTTCGAAACGGGGTCACCCGCGGTCATTTACAGTAAACATGGGTCTTCTGGCCCCTTTTTTCATGTGTACCTCCTAACAGAAAAAATCCACCTTTTAACAAATATTTTCCATTTCCTGGACAACTACATGTCTGCCTTCATTTTGTAGTGGGCTGGAACATGAAACGAAGCTACTGCCGTTATCGTGGGTGACCTTGAAGATCGCAATGCTTGTACTCATCAGCCTAAATAAACACTACTCATATTCATGCCGTATGACATGCGTCAAAAACTCGTTTAAGATTGGAAGCATGGAGAGTCCAACATATCTCATTGACGGCTCAAAATGACCGTAACGGGTTTGTCCAGAATCGTGTCTTAGGGATTTTCGAAAAAGGACCTTGATTTTGAATTATGAGCAATTGAGTGCGAAAAATGTCAAAAAATGCCGTTTTTTCACATTTATGTCGACAAAAACTATACTTAAAATCAGAAATTAAAAAATTCCTAAGACACGATTTTTGATCTTATTCCTAGTCGTCCAAAAATAATAAAAAGTCGGGGATTTTGGGTAACATACGTAGCCAATCTTAAACGGTGTTTGCCGAAAAACATGACTCGGACTGTCTCGGACTGGCGCTCCAAATCCCGCAAAAAATCGTCTTTCGGAGCGAGATTTTTCAAAATCAGTAATTTAACGTAAACAACTAACATTAAACCTATGTAAACACGATAATTTCATTTTATCTTGACGGAATTTACCCTTCAATACTATTTGTTTATTTTCAAATGGTTTACGGGTAGTCCAAAACAGGCCAAACTTGCGTCTTGTAACCTGATACGTTTTCGAACCCCCCTAGCAATGGGAAAGAATACCGTAGTGACAGACCGCCGTGGACCTTAATTTAAAGAAGAAATCCAATGATTCCGTCACATTTTTCAATCCCTTTTACCTCCTTGTAGAGGGTCGTAAAGTTAGAACCTATTCAAAGAAGGGTATTGGACTGCCTTCAAAAGAATTGATAGCAACCAGGAGGATATTTACGCTGATTAATGTTAGACATCCAGGTAATACGATACGCCAAAAAGCAGTTATTCAAGCAACTGGATATGATTTTGAAAACGGTCAGACGTTTCAGCTAGTATCCACTAGCTTTCGTCAGTAAATGAGGTGAAATGCAGGTTCATAAGCACAAACTGTTGATTGATATACAAACTGTTGATTGATATGCTTATAAACCTGCATTTCCCCTCTGGTCTCTCATTTACTGACGAAAGCAAGTGGATACTAGCTGAAACGTCTGACCGCTTCCAAAACCATATCCAGTTGCTTGAGTAACAGCTTTTTTGCAGGAGGATATTTGACTTTTTAGCTCTTCCGCTTCCTGCGTAGTGAGGCCGTACACAGGCGGACTGTGCCACATCATGGTCATGTACAGGAGAAGGAAGACTTTGCTGTAAGTCCAGGCTCCCATGTTGAACGGTGTTCGTCTAAGATGAAGAAACAATGTCAAGGAAGTGTTTTAATAATTTTGTTGACAAGTCTCCAACATACAGAATCATGAAAAAAAGGGTATAAACTTTTAAGATACCATACCTTTTTAAGAAAATGTTTCATAGGTTGTCATGCTGTTATGTGTTCTACACTACCAAAATTCTATTTCTTATTTTTCTTCTTTTTTCTAATGTTGAGAAATATCCTCTTGCCAGGGGGATTTTCAAGAAAATTCAAGAAACATTTTTTAAAGATTTTGTACAAGGAAAAACAAGAAAAAGCATTTCTGGTAGTGACTGTAGGCATTTATATTTCATCAAATCAATATTGAATTCCGTAGGGATATCCTTTCCGTATACATTTAAAGATAAAATATCACAAGTTGCCAGGACCTACCCTGTGGGCGATTTCCTCTCAGCGTGGACAGAGCGCAGACTGAGCCCCACAGAACCTTCGGGCGATCTGGCCTTCAGCGTAAAGAAACAAATTACATATCTGTCATAATTGTATTACACAAACACAAGGGCGGTAATTTCCACAGCTCATTTAGTGTCGTGTAGTAACAATACGTTAATTACGACTCTGTTTACTAGAAAATAATTTACTCACAGAGGGGGCAGCATATTTTCGTTAACTACATTTAACGCCAAGCAACCTTTTGTTCAAGTCCTTGAACACACCCTAAATTCTATTATGACATTTGTAGTAATGGAGGAGTTTCAGCCTCTACATAAGACGTCCTGGATTTGGACTTGCTTTTGCCTTAACATTTATACAAATTGCCCTTAACATTGACACAAATTTTCTTTCACATTTACACAAATTTCCCACTTAAAAAACTGAACAGTATTTACTGTAGGACTGAGAGATATCGCTCAAGTGCAATACTACACATGGTACTGTCCTAAACTTGTAATAACGTCTGACCTGTTTATTTTAACCGTTTTAATTTAGTGGTTGTTAATGTTTTTTTAAATATACCCTGTCCATGAAATGTTTATAGATATGTCTGATATAGAGATATGCCGTTTCTTATTGTTAGTAAACTCTGGAAGGCCCCACCCCCTCCAAAATGGAACGTTCCACCGCCTCCGATGGTGCTGCCAAATCCAAAACCACCACCATACATTCCTATATTACAACATATTTACAGTTAGGTATCACATTTTTCAAAACATATATCTCAATACAAATATGACATAAAACATAATAAACAATTTCCATACTGATCTACTTGTATTGTCCTAAGTTAGATCATAATTTTACGTACAGTTGAAATTTAACCTTTCAATCTACATTTGATGCATCAAAATTACGGTGAGAAGGCTTTGCTGTTTAAAAGATATTATTTCAGCCAATATGCATAAATTTAGGTATCACTTTTCTTTGACTTAGGGTCTATATATACAGACTCTTATTTCAGCTGCATTTCCCAATATGTTGTAAACAAAGTCTCATAAAAAACTGAGTAACTCACCAGGTCCGAGCCCCCCTCCCCCTGCAGTGGGCCCTCCCGGCCCCCCGCCACCGAAGTGGGTGTTGAAGTGTGGAACAGTCTTCTTCCTCTTCTTACCGATCTCCTCTTTGTCTGGAGGTGGGAGAAAATCACATCAACACAAGATTATCAGCACTTCTATTCTACTCAAATCATGCCCATTCCTGTCCTTGGTGCTGAACACCATCAACTGTAAAACACATCAGATTTCGTAAAATACATACAATACTTTTCTCTAAAAACACTGCTTTTTCTCAAAACTATAATTATGACTGCTTCACAACAAATACATTCAACCATTATAACTGTTTTCCAAGTTTTTGTACCTACATAGATCTGAGGAAAGTACAAGGACAGCAAACTTGGCTGTTATTCAAACTTTCCTTTTGCAGTATCTAAAATACCTCAATCTGATTGTAAAGCAATGATGCAAAGTGTTTGGATAAGTCCCCATTTCTTTGTGCTGAAAGTTCAGAACATGTTTGGAAGGTAAGTGAAGGATTTGGGGCCGTCAAATTAGTAAGGCTGAAACTACAAAGCAAAAATTTTTGAAACCACGTACCGAACTGCTGAGGCTGGTAGGTGAAGGGTTTTGGGTCGCTGAGTTCTCCGTCGGACTTTCTGCGCAGCTGGACATGGACGCTGATCGGCCGCTCGATCGCCACGTTGTGGTACAGCGGAGTCTTAAACACGATCGCAAACTGTAGGAAAAAAAACCGATGAAACAAACTTACAAGGGTTTCTGTGTCTCACAATGGCTGTAGAATAGTTACAAAGGATGTACAGCACAAATAGTACTTGTGCTATCTGATGAAGACAGTCTGTGCCTTTAATTGCTGCAGTCAAGAAATTCTGAGGCTCATGAACTGACCAGGAATCTGTATAAGGATGTTTGGCTGCATCACCTGCCGCGCTACAAGGCCCTGTTAAGTCTACTTATTACTGTGTTTTAATTATCATGTATTTAACACTGTTTTGTATTTTTTATGCACAATGTCTATTAATTTGTGGGCATGGTGGCCTTGAAAAGGTGTACTTAGGTCCACCTGTTCCACCATGCCTTCCATTTATATGTGTATGTGGTGAATTGTAATAAATAAATAAAAAATAAATAAAATAACCTTTAATACCAAGCTATACAGCTGTGAGACAAACAAGTACAAACAAACCCATGTTGACCTGACGTACCTGTCTGTGGACGTCTGCAGGCCCGAAGTCTCCGTAAGCCTCCCACTCCGACCCGCCATTGGTCGATTCATCAGCCTCTTCATAGAAACGCACCTGGATGTCATCTGTACAAACATCAGGCAAACTCAGCTTCATTTTTCACTTTTATAATATTCATATGACATAGCAATCTTCTAAAGAATGATGCACATGTACTATGGAACATTCTCTTTCTATCTTGGGGTTAGAACATCAAATACTCGCCGTTTCTTTCAGTCCCCTATCGTGCATACAGTCATATTATTGTGTTAACTTTACAATCAAACAGCAAGGCTAGCAACTGTTTTAGATTTAGATTCTCATGTCTCAAGTCAACATAGATAATTTTTCTTGGCATGACACCATTTTAAAGTTTCCTTTTTAATGAGGAAGCAGTATTTACACATATGTTAAGCTGATATAGCTAATATGCTCAGTAACTGTCATGTAAAGTTCATGTAGAATCAGGTGAGGTCAGATCATGTGAGGTCAGGTCATGTGAGGTCATGTGAGGTCACCTGATGTCGCTCACCTTTCTGCACCTTGTCACACAGCAGGAAGACCTCGTCCCCGCCGGTCACACAGCCGGAGTGCCGGTCCATCCGGCAGATCTTCAGCGTCGACGCGTTAGGGGCCTCTGGGATGATGATAGGGAGAAATCATTTAAAACCGATTATCTTTTCACAAGTTTTATTTGGTTTGTCGAAGTGCTAACTCAGGCTATGAAATTTAATAATGTAACTTAAAATCAAATCACTGCTTTGATAAGTATACTGTCATTAAAAAAACAACTAAAAAGACAAGAACTTTCTTCAATTATTGGTGCCAAATGGGAGGTTTTTTTAGTCATAACCAAAATGGTACAAGACTTAGTACATGGTAAATGAGATACACAAGTAGTTACTAAGAAATTCTATCTGGTTGCTCGAGTTTTCTTGTGTACACATACAGGTTTTGTTTTTGCAGAAGAGGGAGAATCTGAGAACCAAATTGTTATGGCCTAACAGATGAGGATACAACAAATCTTCAAGCTTTAGTTAGAAACAAAAATCAAGACATTTGAGAATACGTACTGCTGTCGAACACAGCGTCAGAGATGACCGGTTGTAGAGTGCGTGTGTACGTCCCGTTCTCATCCTGCAGGAAAGCCTGGAAACAAACCCGCACGGCGCTCAGGTCCATCTGCTTAGCCTGCTCCTGGGACTCCTTCACAATCTGTCGCTTGTCTTGTTCTGGTAAAGAAGTCATGGTGTAGAAAACACTGGTCATTCTTGAGAAAGACAAATAAAGTCAAAACCGGTCAAATTCCGTCTCATTGTTGTCATTTTCCCAATGTTAAGAACGATGTAGAGAACAGCTGTGTTAAGTCTACTGAGAATTGTTCAAGATCTGACTCTGTGAAATATGTAAGTTTTATATCTTACATTCATTTATTCATTCATTCATTGTTAATAATATGTTCCTATGTATGTGTACTACATGTACATGTATATATATTACTGATAGACAGAATGAGAAACGATGAGAAAAGCGAGTGATGTCCCTCCCACCTGTGATGTTATGATAGACAGAATGAAAGAATAACAATAAGATAAACACCTGTGATGTACTTGTTACTGTCGTCCTCACTCAGGTTGTCGAAGTCGAGGATGATTTTCCCCGTCTCCTGGCAGCGCCGCGCGGCGACCAGCTCCTTCATCTTCCTCTTCTCCAGGATGGACGGAACGTTCTTCTTCGTCACGTGGAGGACACCAAGGTTTCGGAACCTGTTAGGAACAGCAGAGAGGAGTAGAGTTACAGGAATAAGATCTATCAGTTTTGCTTAATGGAAACAGTTCACTCTACACACATAGAACAATCCCTCCCTATCTGTAGGTAATGACAGACTCACGTTGCTGGCATTGTCCCTGGGTCTGACCTGCACCACAGAGACTTACAACGCATGTGCACGCAAACATATGCAAACACACAAACACACACACACATGCTCTCTCTCTTTCCTTCACATACACAAGCACGCATAATCAGAACAGTCCCTCTATACCCATAAGTAAAGATTAACTCATGTAGCGGAGATATGTCCGACCAGCATCACAAAGATACACAAACACACACAGAACTACATGTAAAGATTAACTCACGTAGCAGACATTCCTTCGGTCTGACCTGCACCACACAGAGACACACACAGACAGACGTACAAACAGATAGACAAACACGCACAGAGATAAAGACAAACTCACGTAGCGGACATGTCCTTAGGTCCGACATGCACCACACAGATACACATATTCACACACAGAAACACACACACAGACAAGACACACACAAACACACACAAGACAAACTCACGTAGCGGACATGTCCTTGGGTCCGACCTGCACCACACAGAATCCGTCCTCGTTACACTGTTTCCCCACCAGGTAGTGGGCGTGCGGCCGCGGCTGGTCCTCATTGGTCATCAGAGTCACCACGATACGGGCGTAACCTTGGTAACCAACGATCTGAGAGATCAGGGAAAAGTGCAGAATTAATTGATGAATCATCATCATTGGTCTTCCTCATTATGAGGTGTAGCCTCCAGAACTGTTTGAGGCTACTGAGACAAGTTCCTGCACTTCTAAATTAGTTTCTGTTTCTATGAGTCTCTTTAGAGGTATGATTAATATTGTGTGGGATAATAATCATAACTGCTAACAAACTTGCAGACAAATATCATCAAATAACAACAAGCAGCAACACCCTATTTTGGTCCTCACAATTATCAGTACTCCAAAAGATAGTTTTTATTTAAAAAGAAGAACTTACAAAGCCAATTTTACAAAAATGGTTAAAAGAGAGGAAATTGTCCGATGTTACCTTGACAGACGGGTAAGTTTTCCTGTTCTTCTCACTGTGGACCCCTGGGATACCTCCGTGTGACGGACCCTCGCAGCCATACCGGAAACGGAAACCGCGCTGCGTGGGGACAGACATGATATTACTGTCAAAAATGTACTAACTAATCAGTTTTAAGTTTTTAACTGGTAAAAATCTGTACTAATTAATCAGTGAACAAACTGTAGCTATGATAGTCTGATATATTTCTTGACACTGGTGAATGAATTATAAACCTTGCCTTTCAAATGCTGTAGGTAAATTTCAAATAAAATCATTAACATGGGAGAAAAAAAAAGTAAGAATGCTGATCAGATGCATTTTTACCACACCATGAAAAGGGGTGTCTTGTTGTTTTTTTTTAATTTATTTACTTCATAGTTCACCACAAAAAAGCCTCATGAGAACCACTTAAATGTTTTGGCTTACTGTAGAGCCAATGAGGACAGATATTTGTTGACCTTAGACTTGGAAAGTTCAAGGTTATTCCATAGTGAGCATCTTATAGTACAATGTAAATCTTGTACATGCATCATTGAGGCTTAAACTAGTAAAAGTGGATCCAATCAAAACACAAGGGCAGACATTCAGAACCAATTATACATGATTAGATACACCCTAACATTGATTGAGTAGTTATTTATCATTAGATATGAAAACAAGGAAGTCCTTACAGATTTGGGCTGTTCAGTGATCTGTAGGTAAGGCTGCCCCTGCATTCCTGTAACAAACATGATCATAGGTTAACAGACACACAGAAACATGGACTATGCACCATTCATACATGATGTTCCTACCTGTTTGATGTTTTAGTTTAAAATCGCTATAAATGCTTCCTTGTATTTTGTGTATCGTTACTGTACTCAGGGCCAGCCCTTTGTAATAGCTGACATGACACTACATTTACATGTATGTTTCTTACAGCCAAACCAGTATATATAATAGAAAAAGATTTAGAGAATTAGAAAGTATTCCTGTGACATTAGTGTGTACATTACCAACGTAGTAGTTGGGCAAGAATTATTATTTAGACATCATGCTGCCCCAATGGTTGACTAAGCTACGGGAGAGTGAGTTAGGCAGAATTGGCTATGTGTCTCTTATAGCCGAACTGGTATGTAAGAGAAAGTAAGGGAAAGTGAGAGAAAGTGTCCACCTGCGACAGGTGTGTAATAATAAGTTACCTGGCGTCCCGTTCATGGCGTGCTGCATCCCGGTCATCTTTTGCAGCAGGCTGATGTCCGGCGCTCCGTCCTCCCCGTTAATTATCTCGTTAACGAGCGACGCCGGTAATTCCACCGACTCCAGCGCTGTGTCTGACATGGCGGAATCAAAGCCCTTGACGTTTTAGCGCTCAGTTTCTCCCGTTTTACCTCACAAACGCGTAACAAGTACGGAAAGTCTTCTGTGAAGAAGAAAAACAACAAGAAGGGAAAAAAAAGTCAATAAAATTGTAAAACTCACCTTGTTGTGACTCTAGTTGGAGGGGTTTTTAAGGAAATGTTGGGAGGAAATTAGCAAAATGCCTAACGTTGCTACAAGGTAGCCACAGTGGTTCTATAGAGTCAGGGACTCAGAAAGGGGAAGTTGTTGACTCATTTGCATATGATTTGCATATCCAGTGGAAATCCCCGCGAGCGTCTGGCAATATTTCTGGCAGGAGGTAATGACGTCATCACTAACTAAACAATGGACTACCTGAGGACTGGACTGTACCATCTGGTTACCATACGGGGGTAAAAAACTGTATTTTCCAACTTCTTTTTTTTCTTTTGCATATAAACTTATAACAGCAACCCTGATTTTAGTCATTTTCCATCTTGATAGGGTTCTGGATCTTTTTGAAAGCCAATCAATTTTTAACGGAAATAGAAAACTAGTTCATACCCCCCTCTCAAACAAAGACTTAAAGTGTGCCAGGCCTCCCAGGTTGGGTGTAACAGTTTAGAAAGGAGAAGTGTTTAGTGCACAGTTCTAACAAGTGTCAAGAAAATACCACAGGTGGTCATAATAATACTAGTAGTACTTCCTTCTTGTTTATCTTTCCAGGTTTTTCAGTTCCACTGTGACTCAGTGTCACAAATTCGAAATGACAAAATATGCGTGTCGTGACATGCCGTGGCTTGTGGAAAAGTACTTTGAGGGATTCTTTGTTTTGTGCTTTAAAAATATTGACAAATTTCAACAGCAACATTGGCTTTCCGTTTTGCACGCCAGATACAAAATTCGGAACTTCCTCGAAAACATCTAGTCTCGTCGAATTACAGAGAATTTACTCGTGTAAGAAACTGTGCCCCCATGGCCATGGTATCCAGGTACAGGGGTTTATATCAACACTATTGGTTTCTCACTAGACTTCTACAAATCGCACTTTTTGCGATCCTACACTAAAAGGGGGCAGTGCGAGAAACCTACAACTTCCGAGTAGCCGAGGTATAACTGCATTCAGGTAAACAATAACGGCCTATTAACAGCAACAAATGCGATTTTTCGGAGCTGTGACTCACCAAGATCGCTCCCAGATCTTCAAAAGTGGCGTGAAACCCCGTTAGTTTGCAATTCCAGGGTAGATTTGGACTTGGACCACAGTGGACTTGGACGTGGGAAAAAACACTACGCCAGACTCGAGCGTAAAGTCCCTAAACCTGGGAAAACCCCGCATTTCCAGCTCAGCTCTGATTAGTCGATTCTGGTCAGCTGGTGGAATATCAGAGCCTGTGATTGGCTGGAGCTGGGGCGAGCCAAAAATAGATCTGCGTCACCAGGAAGTGTTCCAGGTAAGGCTGACTGCGCTTCTAGCGGTTTGATATAAAACTGCAAGCAATGCTCTCTACCGCTGCGTTTCACTAACATATCGCCAGACGGCGCTTCTACACGGCCGCAAAGAAGTGTGCAAAACAACCTGATGATGGCAAACTTAGTTAATGCTTAACTAGGATACGAACCAAGTCAGGGGTAAACTTTGCAGAGGCTATACTACTAAAAAAAAACGAAAAGAAAGCAGACACATTGTTTTGGCACACAGTACAAAATGCACATGATATAAATGGTACTATGTTGTTGCGTGTGTGACTAGACAATCGCAATGTTGTAGATTCTTGTTCTTTTCCAACCTGCCCCCCCCCCCCATGACCTTCAAACTTGTCCCCTACTCTTGAGCGGACATTTTCCTTAAGGAACACATCTGGGCACAGGTATGGTGGACAGACTTTGGTAACTTCGAACAGTGATATTTAGTTGATAACTCTAAAGGATCTTTATAATGATAATGATAATGATAACTTTATGATGATATACATTATGATATACATGATACCTACGTATGACAACAACCTATACCTATCTTTATACATATGATACCTACCTACCTATAAACATCTTAAAACTCTTATATACCTGACAGAAGTTAAGTGTTAATGATGAACATATCAAGGCATGTAGTGAGCAACATTAAATCGAGCCATGAAAGTTCATCTTCTGGCAGAAGTATATTCTGTTAGATATTGAATTATTTCCGAGAATGGGCACGGTAATAATGACAGAAATTCTATACTTTCAATACGAATGGACTTGGACGGGGGCCTGCTTGGGGGGGGGGGGGCGACAACGCTCTACGCTGAAACCTCTCGATTACGCTTTACGATAAATTCCAAGTGGCTACAACGCATTACGTAGAATTAAAAAGACGAATACGCTCTACGTACTAGCTATGCAAAATGCGTCAATTACCCTCTACGTTGAATTAGAGCGCTCCGTCTAATTCGTAGAATTAAAACGTCCGATTACAATCTACGCAAAAGCGGGCATGCGGGCCCCTTTGGACTGATTTAAATGTGCATGTACAGCGGGTCTAGCAAGACTCGTTCCATTGTACATGTAGCACCGCAGACAACAAAGGGGGTACTCGGGGCTGTACTTTTTATATTATCTCCAAGCAAATCTTACGGTAGCCAAGACAGTAACGGTCCAAGAGGCACCACAGTATATCCAAAATGCTACCTATATATGCATATTCTAGATCTACTGGCTACCGAAAGATCTGCTTTAAGATAACTTTCCTGTTATTTTCACGCCACAAAATGGCGGACAGAACTCGTAAGCTACCCGTGACCCGCCCGTTCCAAAGTCTACACGTCGCTAACGGTCAGAGTAAACGGGCCCTACAGTGCCCAGTATAGTATCAAGGGCAGTACGCTAGTATCAAACTAGAGTTCGGAGGGCTCATGCCTTCGACAGTGTGATATTGCTTTCGTGGGTGTTGTGTGTATGTATAGTGTAGGCTTTTTGAAGATGATTATCGTAGTTTCCGTCAGGACCAAAGAAAAATGATCGCAGTTGTATCTCGCGTTGGGGTGGACGGATGTAATTGGGACTCGGTATACGTTCTGCTATTGGGCTGTAGATGGTGCACGTTCTTTTGTTCTTATTGTATTTGTGTTTTCGGGCGTGAAAATGAATTTTATTGGCGGCCCCCGGACACCCCTTTGACTCAGTTTGAGTCTGAAAATGGTCGCCCGGGTTGACCTTTGGTGTGTTTGTGGTATTATGAGATTGGTCCACTTTTTTGTCACAGAGGGGTGTTCCACAGAGGGGGTGTTCGGTGTCGATGAAAGATTTGTTTTCAACAAGGCACTGGTATCATTTGTGGGTGGACGTGGTGAGATATTAGTTGTTCCTGACGTTTTAAATTAGATACAATCGAACGCAAGTTTTGCGAGTAGTAAAGTGGTGTATGCTAAAGTACGGGACATCACCAGGACCAAGGACATTCTATCACCGTGTGATGAAAGCTTCTTGCCGGGACAGACCTCGATCTGCTCGGAAACATGTATAGAGAGCACCGGGCCGTCACGCCGAAGGTTACGTGGCTTACACTTCCGGGTTATCGAACAAGGACATTATACAGGTCCTTGAACGAACGTAAAATTATGTGGAAAAAATGCCATAAATCCGCAAATAGATATATATTTTCCCCAAAGGTTCTTTGAATTGTGGCAATCATATTTTCACTAAATGTGGCTATGCAATCGTGGAAAACAGCGTTTTAGGGGGCACACCCCAATTTATTTGGGGGCCTCTATGCGAAGCTGCACACCCTCAAATCTAGCGACCGTCTCTGGCGTGGAATAATTCGGAAGGAGAATAACTGTATATGGGACGAAAGGATATCTCTTCAGCTACAAGACAAGCTGAGTTTGGTTTCTTCAACCTTTTTTAAGTTTGGTAAAATCAACGGAAAAAACATTATTTTCACTCCAAAATTAATGCCCAAAATTGCGAATTTTCGCGTAGGATAATCCCACAAAAAACATTTTCCGGCAGAAATGACTGATGCTGGCAGAAGGAACCAAGCCTTGACTATACCCGAGTAAATTATAAAGAAAATTCTAGTACTGTAATTTTCTGAACAGTCCACGGCGCGAGGGTTGCAAATCCACCCCTACGAAGCCGCAGAGCGAAATCTAGGTCAAACGGGGGCGGATTACACTTGGCGCGCAAGGATACCCGGAAGTAAGGTTCGGAGCCAAAAAAAATTTTCACCCCAAAATCACCATTTCTTACACTCTTCAGCCATGTTAAAGTTTAATGATACTTCGTGGCAGTTTATTAGAAATGTCACCTCAAACTTGGACCCTCAAAACCCTTTCGTCACTTTTTTTACAACGGACTACGAAGAACTGGGGTGTGCACCGTTTAGTGCATGTTCCTCAAGAAAGAAAATTACTCCGCACGTGTAGGGTCTAAAAGAGTCCCGACAAAAAAATGATTGTGTCCGAACAGCGTGAGTTTAGGTCCACCATAAAATCTCTTTCATCCCTCAGACCTGATCTAAAAAGGATTTGAGATGGAAGCCTGTTTATTACTGACAGGATCAGGCAGGGAAGTTTCGGCGTCCGGGCGATTGTCGGACGTATACGCTTATTTTGACCTGAGTACTGCGGTGGGGCACAGTGAGCCAAAAGAGGGCCTCTTGCGGGTCATGGGTAATTGCCATACTAGCAGTGTGTACACCGACGATTTATTTTGGTACCTCTTTTTTAGATAATTTTTTTCTTGTGCAAATTATGCTCAGAAAGGCCCAGTTTTCTGGTAAGAAGGACAGAAGAATGTATATTTTTAAAATTTGGCCAAAAAGTCTGACATTTTTCATGGTTTGACCTGTTATTAGCCTTTAAAAACTTGTGATCTTGTTACCTGCTATTAGCTGCGTGTAGTAGCGATGGCTTGGGGATTTATCTCCCTTTTGTGTATTTGAGGATTTACAGATGAGTTTTTGATAGCCTATAGTCTGTCAACAGCATAACTTGAGAAAGCTTAGGTGGATTATCTTGATATTTGGTAGGTGGGTAGGTCTTGATGGGACCTGGAAATGATTAGACTTTGGACCCCCTAGCGGCTTGTTGTGGTACTGCAGCTGAACTTCCAGTTTTGATATCTCATGATCTACACATGCTGGGGTGACGAAATCTGGATGGTAGGTAGCTCTTTTGCTGGGGAAGAAGTGGCGTGAGCTTGGGGCCCCCTACGCGGGCTTGCTCAGGAACTGCAGGTCTATCTGTTTGAAAATATTCAAAAAGAAGGATAACTCAAGAACCGGTGGACGGATCGTCGTGATTTTTGGTATGCAGGTAGCTTACGTGATGGTCGGTATAATTATGCGGCAATTACGCAAATCTGGATGTAATTTGCATAATTAATGGAGAAAATTCTATACATCAGCTGCATTACATTGTAGGACTATTCAAGCTTGTGACATGTAATTGAGAACGAGAGAAACACAGGCAGATATTGATTATGTAAATTAATACTTAATCTGCATAATTAATGAGAAAATGTAATAATTCCATAATGCTAACTGCCTGGAATTTCATACTTGGGGTTGCTGGTGTGTTTTCTAAATTTAAAGCGACCAGTGTTACTGCAGTAACGTACGGACCTCCCACGACGCCCATTTCCGAAATTGATCTTGCTATCGTCAACGGTAACTTGCTCGCAAAAAATCGTGAACATCCATTTGCAGATTCTCGAATTATCCCGCTAACAACAATAACGACCACCACAAAAGGTCAAAATCAATGACATGGGAACCCCCCACGAGGCCCATATCCGAACTTGACCTTGGTATTTTCAATGGTAACTTGACCAACTAAAAAACATGAACATCCATTTAAGATTCTCGAGATATCTTGATGACAAGGAAAAACACAAAAAACAAAGGTCAACTGCAGTGACATAGAAACCCCCACGGGGCCCATCTTTGAACTTGACCTCGGCATTCTCAACGGTAACTTGCCCACTATAAATCATGAACATCCATTTAAGGATACTCGAGATATCTTGATGACAAGGAAAAAACACCAAAAACCAAGGTCAATTACAGTGACTTAGGAACCCCCCACGAAGCCCATTTTTAGCCTTGACAATGGCCACCCCCAGATCAACCTGCCTGCCAAAAATCGTGAACCTCGGACCATGCCTTCAAACTTTACCGTGCATAATCTACAAAACAGGCCGAAACCGATTTCATAGCCTTCTCGTCGAAGGCAAAAATGATTTTTCTTGTGCAAATTATGCTCAGAAAGGCCCAGTTTTCTGGTAAGAAGGACAGAAGAATGTATATTTTTAAAATTTGGCCAAAAAGTCTGACATTTTTCATGGTTTGACCTGTTATTAGCCTTTAAAAACTTGTGATCTTGTTACCTGCTATTAGCTGCGTGTATTAGCGATGGCTTGGGGATTTATCTCCCTTTTGTGTATTTGAGGATTTACAGATAAGTTTTTGATAGCCTATAGTCTGTCAACAGCATAACTTGAGAAAGCTTAGGTGTATTATCTTGATATTTGGTAGGTGGGTAGGTCTTGATGGGACCTGGAAATGATTAGACTTTGGACCCCCTAGCGGCTTGTTGTGGTACTGCAGCTGAACTTCCAGTTTTGATATCTCATGATCTACACATGCTGGGGTGACGAAATCTGGATGGTAGGTAGCTCTTTTGCTGGGGAAGAAGTGGCGTGAGCTTGGGCCCCCTAGCGGCTTGCTCAGGAACTGCAGGTCTATCTGTTTGAAAATATTCAAAAGAGGATAACTCAAGAACCGGTGGACGGATCGTCGTGATTTTTGGTATGCAGGTAGCTTACGTGATGGTCGGTATAATTATGCGGCAATTATGCAAATCTGGATGTAATTTGCATAATTAATGGTGAAATTCTATAAATCAGCTGCATTACATTGTAGGACTATTCAAGCTTGTGACATGTAATTGAGAACGAGAGAAAGACAGGCAGATATTGATTATGTAAATTAATACTTAATTTGCATAATTAATGAGAAAATGTAATAATTCCATA